TGAATGTGCACTTGTGTACTTTAAATTAAAAGTATTAAAACTGCACTTGCATATAAGATAATGTGAATGTAATAATGTTAATGAAATGAAAGGCCGCTTAAGTGTACTTAAAGAGAGTGTACTTTCATGACCACTTTCACTTAAGTGCACTTTGTAATGACAAAATGAAATGTTTTACTTTAAAGTACTTTTGAAATCATTGGGTTAACCTTTTGTTGTGCTTTAAAGAAGTAGACTGTAAATTTCAAAATGTTAATGTTACTTGAGAAAATCATTTGAACTTACTGCCTCACAGAAGCTAATTTATGAGAACTTGAATATACTATGTAACCTTAACTAGATTTTTCTGAGGCAATAATTTTGCAAGATTTTTTGCAAGTAAATTTAACAAATTGAAATTTCGTGTATTTTAATGTATTGACTAACATACTAAAGCACATATAAAGTATTGGTTAAGTATAGGTTTAATTGTAATGTGTTGTTGTTTGATATTACATTTAAAGTTAATGTTTTGCAACTTCATCAGCCATACAAGCAGAAATGACATTAAAGAATATTTTAGTTCATAAATCCATAATGGAATTAAGTCCATAAATGCTTGTCAGTGCATTCACCAGGACATTTTAACCATATTTCAAAGGCAGTAGAATTGTGAAATACATATAAATGTACTGAAATCCCACTTAAGTTGGTAAAAAGGCAAATAATAGCATTTTATATAAATTTAAACTGCAATACATTTTAATTTCAATTAATATTCAATTAAGTATGTAAAAAGTGCTTAAGTTCTTTTGAATAGTAAATTTTTTGTTCAAGTAAGCTAGTTTCATTTTCACAAGAGTTATGCAAAATGAAATTGTTAATTTGCTCACCCTTATGTTATTCTGAACTCCTCGACATTGTTGTAGAACACAAAAGTGTTTTGGGGGGAAAAAATCATTTTTTTCTTTTTTTCTATACAATGAAAGTTTCTCATATCTCTAAACCCGAACACCTGCCACATCCAGGTACTGGATATCCAGATGAGCAATTTAAAAGGAAAATTTTCAGGTTTGTAAAGACTAGGATCTGTTTCTGTTTGCATTAATGTATAATGTCTTTTTTGGCTATAATTTTGATAATCTTGATCAAATTAATTTGCATTGCGGAGTCTTATTGGCATCTAATACTAGTTTGACTTTCATGGATTACTTGAGGGGAAAAAAGAATTAAGATTAGAATGTTTTTGAGCTGTTTTGGATGCCTTCACTAACTTAAAATTCATGTTCTTTGTGTTTTGAGAATATCAGGTTCTGTTTTGAGTGTCTGCTTGTTACTTCCAATGGAAACACTAGTATTCATGCGAGACGTAGCTGAAGGAAATGAATTCTCAATGCAGAATTCAGAGCCTGTCTGAAAGACGCTATGAGTGAGGATGTGAAGGTCTCTCAAATTAGATTGTCTAACACATAAAAGCCTGCATGATGAGGACGGAATTTCCTGTGTCAAAGTTGTCAAATGGGTCGCGATGAATCTTAAAAAAGGGTTCACCACAAACAGGAAATCCCTTTCTTTCTCCATGTCAACAAACCCAAACCATGCTTTGCCCTGCTCAGACTGCAGCCATCTCGTGGTTTGTAATCTCTCCACACCATTATGTTGGCTCAGAAAGGAGGGTTTAATTCTTGTTATATTGACTGTAGGGGGAGTTTTTGCGGGGGAAAAAATGACAGGGCCTCTCTGTTCATGTTAATAACCTGTGGAGTTATCAGAGCTGAGTGTGAGAGAATTTTACAGATGTTTCTGCTTCTCTGTTTAATTCCCACACTCAACACAGAGGCCCTGCACTCCCAGCATGCTTCACACACCTTTCTGAGCTCTATGCTTGGACCTTCTTTTGGTGATGTACTATTTTTTTTCTACCTCACTTATTGTGTCCATTTTCTCCCTTTTGATCATCTCCGCCACTTCTTCCCTTTTTCTCTGCCTATTGTGCAGGAGCATGATGTAATCCTTAATGGAGTGGAGCTGATCAAAGGGACACATCCTGTTTCACTGCAATTCTATGGACTTCATCCTTTAGAGGTTGTTTTTGTATTATCCTTTATAATAATAATAATAATAAGAATCAAATATTATTATTATTATTATTTTAATTCTTCTTTAGCTCAAGTGCTACTGCATAGTGCTTGCAACACCAAGGTCATGGGTTTGATTCCCAGGGAATACAAGAACTGATAAAAGCAAATGCCAAATGCATTAATAGAAATTACAGGAAGAATGAAAACGAGTGCATTTACATTATTTATAAAATGTTATCTTACTACTATCTACTTTATCTTACTACTATCATTAATTACTCTTACTACTATCACAGTCATGTCATTCCAAAGCCGTGATGAAAAGGTAGTAAGGACATTGTTAAAATAGTCCATGTTTCAGAAGCTACGAGAATACTTTTTGTGTCTCATGGACTATTTTAACGGTGTCCTTACTATCTTTCTGGGCCTTGAACGTGGTAGTTGTGTTGCTGTCTATGGAGGGTCAGAAACTTTTCAACAAAAATATCTTAATTTGTGTTCTGAAGATGAACAAAGGTCTTACAGGTTTGGAACTACATGAGGGTGAGTAATTAATGACAGAATTTTTATTTTTGGGTGAACTAACCCTTTTTTTAAAAAAACTATGCAAAAACCACATTTGCAAATTTTTTTTCTTTTTTTTTCTGGTAAAGAGGTTTTATGCAGGCAAAACATTTTTAAGTTACATAAACCATTTATGACCATTATCTGATGAACAACATTGTCTGAGATGTTAACATGACCTTTCATGTTGTCAGGTTGTTATGCATAATTGGTGTAAGATGTTACATGTTTCCCAGCTTTTGAACCTTTCATTGTGTAGCGTTTTTTGGGGGCGTAGCATATGAGCCCCTTCCACAAATAACAGTATGCCTGCTCCTGTGTGACATAATCGAGATGCTGCCATGGCAACCAAGGGGACTTCAGAATGGAGCAGTTCGTCTGGGGTGCTGTTTCAAGAGCCTGGTTGTGTAAGACATTATGGGCTTGATTAGGCAGCAGCTGAAGTGGCTCTCGGAGCGCTGCGTGTGAGGTGGCAGGGTGACGTGAGGCAGTGCCACACAGTCTGAGCTTTTGTTCTGGACTCAGTGGAGCTGACAGTGTGTCCTGTGCTCCCCTCGCACCATGACTGCATCTCTTCTCATTAGTCTGAATCAGATGTACCTACCCTGCCTCACGAGCAAGTTGGCAGAGAGAGATGGCCTGTGTTCAGAATCATGATGTCCAGTCCAAACCTTTCCAAATGAATCCAAAAAACAATGGCATTTGGGTCCATATAACGAAAATGCGTGCATGAAAGTATTTATTATTAAATATTAAAATAAAATGAAAAAATTATATTTTTTATAAACATATAGATATTAAATAAGTTAAATGAGTAAATAAGTTTTAAAATATAAGTTTAAAGTTAAATAAAAAAATTTTTGGGTGAGGTCTGAACCCAGGTCTCTTTACACACTTAATTAAAGTTTCAGTTGTTAAATAATTTCTTATTTTTCTTGAAGTGAGCCAACATTGCCCCCTCAATAAACAAACAAACAAAAAAAAGTGCATGAAACTTGTGGCTGTTTGAAAATGCAATGTTACTGTTATTCAGCATGAATGTATTTATCTTTTTGCTCTTTGGTCAAATAATAGCACTTGTTAAACGCTTTGTTTATTATTCATCAAGCTGGAATATGATGGTCAGGTATGGGGCATTACATTGTGAAATAGGGTATTTAACAAAGTGTTGTTGGGTTGTATACTGCACATTTGTGACAGTATGATTGGTCATCTTGGTAAGTGCATGCTTTGCATGGTACATACTATTAAATATGCCCTTCCAGACACACTCATGCTCTTATTTTAAAAAAAGATTTACTTTTAAAGAGCTGCTCTCTTTCACCAAGGCCTGCTGAATTTAGTTATTCTGAGGATGTCTCTTTCTTCCTGCAGAGTTTGGATCGTTTTACGTGGATCAGATTTGACCTAGATATCCACTCTTTTGTTATGAGAGTGGAGGGGCTGTGTAGTTTTGTAATGAAAAGCAGACCACAATAGCCGTCCAGAAATCATTTGAGCAACAGTCTCTTCAAGAAAATCACGATCAGCTTTGCCAGCTGCTGTTGATGTCAAACTGAAAAAGAGAAGTGGGAGATTTCTGCTTATTCTGGAGACATTTATGATCCGATTGAGTGTGGGCCAATCCTTTTGATTTGATTTTGGCTCAGTTCTTAGTATTTAGTTCAGTGGGCTGTTTAATGAGCATTATATGACTGTAATTAATTCCCTCAGAGAATCCTCCGTTTCTTGAGTTTGCACACAGTGTTGCTTCTTGAATTTTTCACAACATTAACATTTAGCTTTGATTGGCTTGATTTCCCTTTGAAAGAAACAAGAATAAAAGTATGGGCCTGCAAGATATTGTGATCCATTGGAGCTAAGACGTGGCAATAAGTGTCTTAAGTAGGGCTGCAACTATTCGATAAAATCAGTAATGAATATCAAATTACGTTTTTGATTAGTCTCCTGTTACAAAAACATTACCATTTTGCAAAAACTTTGTCATAACAGCAATTAAGTGATTCGAAACCTGTGTTGGCATTAACTTTGAAAACACTATAGAGCACACACATGTCCCTTAAAACAGAAAAAGAGACTTGAAGACCGTATACAATGCTAGACATCAAATTTAGGTTTTTAATTAATCTTATGCAATGCACATTTCTTGTAAACTGTAACTTCAAAATAATTGGAAGTCCCTTACTTCACAATACTTTTACAGTAAAGTCATTACTTTATATGCACAGTGTGTATAGCGAGCATTTATAAAGACTTCAGTTTGCATGCTGTTTGAAGACAGTAAGAATTAATATTTGATCAATTGAAAATATAATTGACTCAATAATCGATTATGAAAGCCTAGTCTGAAGCTTTTTCCCTTGACTGCGCATTAAGATATGGGGCTCCTGGGGTGGAGATGACTGGACTTCATAAAGACACTGCTGCCGTCACTCAGATACACTTTCTCTATGGACAGGTAAGATCATGTTTCAATCATTGTAGCTTATTAGGTGTTGGTGTGTGTTTTATTGAAGTTGTAGAGGGCTTTTATTTTGAAAGTTGCCATTTGAACAGTTGTGTCTTTAAACCAAATGATATGGTTTTTTTTCTGTTTATAGGGGAGGATACTTTCTTTGTTGGATGATAACACCATTCACCTATGGGAGATTGTGCAGAGAGAAAACCGATCACATTTGGTGGAGGTTCACAGCTTCAGCCTGCCTGGCAGGCCAGGCATCGAGAGCACCAGGTAAGGTTTTGTTCCTTATTCTGGTTGCATTTCCCCAAATTAGCTTAGTGATGCTCTTGTCCAAACCTTGACCTTTATGTTACTTCTTCTCCTGTGTAGTGCGACACGTGTGACCGTCATGCTGTTGAAGCTGAGCTGTGATCTTCTTGCTCTGGGCACTGAAGGTGGTGGGGTGCACTTCCTGGAACTGCCCACCCTCACCTTGCTGAACAAGTCACTGTTCCAGGATGAGATCATGCAGAGGTGAGAGCTGCCCTTCCCGTGTCCATATTGATCTTGTCATGTCATCAGCTCATCCAGATGTTACCACTTTACTATAGCTGTCAGAGTATGAAAAGGCAAGTTTTTTTTTTTTGGGGCTCCGTTCAAATGTGCACGTGTAAAACTGAAATCTCAGTTATATAACACTAAGATTTTTTTTAAGTCTCCTATGCTCTCCAAGGCTTCATTTATTTGATCAAAAATAAAAAAATACAAATAATACAGTAAAAACCACAGTATTGTGAAATAATTTAAATTTAAAATAACTTTTCTATTGTAATATATTAAAAAAAGTAATTTATTCCTTTGATGGCAAAGCTGACATTTCAGCATCATTACTCCAGTCTTCAGTGTCACATGATCCGTCAGAAATCATTCTAATATGTGACCCTGGAGCCCAAAACCAGTCTTAAGTCGCTGGGGTATATTTGTAGCAATAGCCAACAATACATTGTATGGGTCAAAATGAACTATTTTACTTTTATGTCAAAAATCATTAGGATATTAAGTAAAGATCATGTTCCATGAAGATATTTTGTACATTTCCTACCGTAGATATATCAAAACGTAATTTTTGAATAGTAATATGCATTAAGAACTTCATTTGGACAACTTTAAAGGCAATTTTCTCAATATTTAGATTTTTTGCACCCTCAGATTCCAGATTTTCAAATAGTTGTATCTCGACCAAATATTGTCCTGTCCTAACAAACCATACATCAATTGAAAGCTCATTTATTCAGCTTTCAGATGCATGTATGAATGTATAATTCAAAACAATTGACCCTTATGACTGGTTTTGTGGTCCAGGGTCACATATGCTGATTTGCTGCTCAAGAAACATTTCTCATTATTATCCAAAAACAGTTGTGCTGCTTGATATTTTGATATTTGATAAACTGTAATACATTGTTTCACGATTCTTTGAATAGAATTTTGAAATATTTCATAAAAATATAATGTCTTTATATATCTTTACTTTCATTTTTGATGCATCCTTGCAGAATAAAAGTATTTATTAGTATAACCCTAACCCTGTCTGCAACCACTCTGAAAAGGATTTTCTGAATGTCTCTCAGGGGACAGTGGGTATTTTTTTAAGCCTCTGTGACTCAGGACGTCTACACTGGACACTAATAAAGATGGCCGTGCAGACAGATTCCACAGCACTTACCTCATAAAATAAGCATTTGGGGACTCCCACCCCGTCTGAGAGGACTGTGCATGAGGTTAATGAAGCTGCAGCAAGACCTTTTGTTTATTTTCTTTCCCTCCTTTGGCCCTATCCGAGCTGCTTTTGTCACACTTCTCTCATACTTTTTGAACTGGGAACGAATCAAACTTCCTGATTCGCCCCTTCTTGCCCCCAGCTGTGACTGTCTGTTACTCTGTCAGTAGATTATATACAGCTTGAGCTTTCCTGTCCCCACTGCCAAGGCACCGACATCATACCGCCACAGTTAGACGTTTGGAGTTCAGAAAGGCCTTGATCCCTGTGATCTGATGGGATCTTTAAGCCGCTGCTATCCATTTGTTATTGTAAGAATAATACACTGTTCGTTAAGAAGAAACCTGTTTTTCCTAATGGCTGTAATTATGTCTGCTACAAGGCAGAAAATCACACGAACTATTCATCTTACTCTTTAAAGACGTTATTTAACTCCGAGATAAATTACAGCTTTCCCAGTGTGCCCTTTTGCAGATATAGCCTGTGTGGCTAAATGTGGAGTTCATCTGCTTCTGAGAGACCTTGAACTGCTCATTAACTGAGCACAATTTAGGGTAATGGGCATCCTATCTGAGCCACTGGTAATAAGTATGTGTCAGCCAGGAAACTACTGAACAAAATGCTTTTGTACCAAGTGCCAAATCTCTTGGGCCCCAGCCGAGGAGGTGTTTAAAATGGGGGATATGAGCTTTGCACACTCATCTTTGGGAATCAGCAGGATCTGGAATGCCAGGAATATAGTCTGTGGCTCAGTAGAAAAAAACATTATTGTGTTTTGTGGTGATTTGTTTTTCTTTAAGACATGGGGGCATCTAGATTGGCATGTACTGCATATGAGTTTTAATGTCTTCAGAATACTTACTATAATTACAAATGGTGTGCTTGCAAGTATGAAACATAATATGCATCCACTGTAGTGTGGCCATCCTCTACTAACCTCACTGAAAACTAGTTTGGAAAACTATCTTACAATATCATTCTTCTATTTTTGTAAATTAAGGGTTCCTACAATCATGAAAAACCTGGGATTATTAGGGTTTATTATTATTATTATTATTATCTTTGTTAATCGTAATATTACATTATCTCATTTAAAATTATTTTATTTAATGTTTTATTACATTTATCATTTATTTATAGGACAATTTATTTATTAATTTTTATATTTTATAATGATTGTATTATTATTTAACATGTATATGTAAAAATATGTGTGTGTGTATATAAATAAATAAATAAATAATGTAAAATATGAATTATATGATTGATGTAATTATATGACAGTATGGTGATGATGGTTGTTTTATTATTTATTTTTAATAAATATGCTCAGCTTTGTAATTTGAATTATTTTTTTATTTAATTTTTTTTAGAAATTGCTCTTTGTGATTTCAGTCTCTATAAAATCCTTATCAAGTAATTATGACTAACTAGAAAAATCAGGCAAAGATCATTTGAAAATCATAGTTCAATTCATTAGAACCTTAAAGCCTTGTTCTGCACATTTTCAGTTTTTATAAAATTATCTAAGATCTAAAATTGCAAGATCTTCCATTAACTTTGACAATGTTCAACATACTGAAGCATTAATGCCATTTCAGTGTTTCCATACTAATTTCTGATTATCATCACATACTGACTTATAAACAGCAGTATGTCTTTCAAATCTGTTTTTCTGTTTCTTCAATTTTCTTGTAAAACCCTTATGTTGTTTGTGTGAAATTTAGTTTCTTGTGGCTGTTCTTATCTGAAGCCAAGCCACCAGATGACTACTCCAGTCCTTCTTTTCCATGCGCCTTCCTCTTTTCCTCTTTCCCTTCATAGCTGCACCTCATCCCGACTCTGTGTGTGTGTGTACCATGCACATTCCAGCTCTTGAATCCATGCCACAGCCACAGAGGAATCCCGGACTGTGGCTTTTGATTGGTCATCATTTGTCTGGCTTTCAAACTGAATTTAGGCATGTCGGCGTCTGATAATGTTGTCAACTTCTGCCGTTACTTTTGCATTGAAACCACTGATATTTTTTTTGTTTTTGACTTGTTCATAGCTGCACCTCATCCCGACTCTGTGTGTGTGTGTACCATGCACATTCCAGCTCTTGAATCCATGCCACAGCCACAGAGGAATCCCGGACTGTGGCTTTTGATTGGTCATCATTTGTCTGGCTTTCAAACTGAATTTAGGCATGTCGGCGTCTGATAATGTTGTCAACTTCTGCCGTTACTTTTGCATTGAAACCACTGATATTTTTTTTGTTTTTGACTTGTTTATTGAACATTGTGTTTTCTTTCCGTTCACCCCTTTAGACTTTGCAAACATGAATCAAGAGTAATTGTTACCAAATGTTCGATACATTGTTCTCAAAGCTTGGAGGGTGGTTTATTCATCGTTCATTGAACCCTGAGACCTGCTCATTTTTCCATGCGAAATGCTTTTCCACACAAGCCTGCGTTTGATTCGGTTGAGAAAAAAAAGTGCTTAGTGAAGTTTTGCAGTAAAGGTTTTCTGTACTTCAGTAGCGCTCTGTGTTTGGGGAGTTACGTACGTGTGTACATGGATTTGGGGTTTTCACCAAATTGAAGTGCGGTTGGGCGGCACTACAAAGAGAATAAATCTTCCCAATGAATCTTCTGTATAAAAGCTTGCTATTTGTAATGTCATTCACATGTCTGGTTATTCCCCTTTTCAGCGTTCCAGAGGAGTACAGGTGTGGAAAATCATTGGGGCCTGTGGAGTCCCTGCAGGAACATCCGCAAGACTCTGATAAAATCCTCATTGGTTACAGCAGAGGTCTGGTTGTACTCTGGGACCTCAACAGTCGGCATGTAGACAACCTCTTCCTGGGAAAGCAGGTGGGTTTGTGTGTGAGTTTGTTTGATGTCTCTCAAATGGTTTTCAACACTCGTTGGGGTTGTGGTTGAAATGCATTGAATTGAAATAGAAACATAGACATCAGTGTTTTAAAGTCTCTGTAAATGCCAAATAAATGCACTGCAGAATTTCAAAGTGATCTGGTCAAGAGATCTGTCCACGATTCATAAAAACTCCTTTTAATTCCGTCTTTAAATCATCAGTGCTAAAAGTTAAGATGTCTAGATGGTTTAACTCAGACCTTTTGACTTCCTTTCATCGTCTTTGGTCCTTCTTTGACGCTGTGTATTGTGTGGGACTGTCACTCTTGCAGCAGCTGGAGAGTTTGGTCTGGGAACGGTCAGGGAACAGCTTTGTTAGTTCCCATAGTGATGGCGGATACATGGTGTGGGCTGTCAGCAGCAGCAATCCCTGCACTCATGACCCCATCTCATCCACAGTACCATATGGTGAGCCGAAACACATGCCAATTACACACCCTTCCCTTTTTCTCTTTGTTTCTCACACACACAGATTGTTCGTTAGCAGTTTGTTTACATGTGCAATTACAATGCTCAAGTGGTTAAGTTGCATTTTCCATCTGTCTGTCCAAGTGTAAACTATCGTTCATAAGTTTGGGGTCAGATTAAAAAAAAAAAAAAAAACTTGTTTTTTAATTAAAAAATGGCTACTTTTATTCATCAAGGATGCATTAAATTGGTCAAAAGTGACAGTAAAGACAGTTTTCGATAAATGCTGTTCTTTTGAACTTGAATCCTGAAAAAAATGCATTACAGTTTTCGCAAAAAATATTAACCAGCACAACAGTTTTCAACATTGACAATTAGAAATGTTTCTCGTGCAGCAAATCAGCATATTAAAATGATTTCTGAAGGATCATGTGACACTGAATACTGGAGGAATGATGCTGATAATTCAGCTTTGCATCACATGAATAAATTACATGTTAAAATATAGTTAAATAAGTAGGGATGCACCGAATATTCTGCAACCGAAATTATTCGGCCGAAAATAGCAAAAAAATATATTTCGTTGTTTGGTCGAATAAGCGAAAAGGCCGAATAATATGTACCAAACAATGACGAACGCGATTAAATAGAGGCACGCGCTAAAGCAGCAAACATCGGCAGTGTGAAAGTAGGGCTGGACGATATGGCCAAAATTGATATCACGATATATTTCTTAATTTCGGTCGATACGATATAATTCCGATATCGATATGAACACTATTTATCTGAAATAGAAATCTTTTGTAACATTATAAATGCCTTTATCATCACTTTTGATCAATTTTAAGCATCCTTGCTAAATAAAAGTATAATTTCTATAATTTCTTTCCCTTTAGGAGGGCGTGGCAGAGTCTTAACTTTTATAAAGAATATCTCTTTGGTTTTGAGACTTTAGTCTTTGCAACTTCAGGGATCTTATCTATTCGCAATCAGCTTGTAACACTCCAAAGAGAAAGGAAAACTTGAAATCGCATCATATGACCCCTTTAAATCTATCAGAGAAAGACGCAGAAATCATTACAAGCAGGAAGCACCGACAGCGAGAGACTGTTTAGTTCTGTATCACATGTCTCTGATGAGAAGAAGAGGTGGCTAATGCTGGTGGTTACTGTATGATGATTGAAATCGCGAAATTACCTCAAACGATTAGTAAATAAACTGCAGAATGTTATATTTTCTAATGCACGCACAAATTGCATGTATTCTGACAGCGCTGCACGAGCTCGCGGCGCCAGGGTTCAAAGTCCAAAGCGCGAGGAAAATCTGCGCTAAAACTGTGTTACTCGTCAGTTGCTCAGTAACATTTTTGTGAATTTTTTTTAAAGGCATGTGACAATGTGATACGTGCGACAAACATCTTCCCAAATTCGTAATGAGAATCATTTGTCAACAAAAAGAAGCACTGAGATATTCCTGCGGGTTTCTGCCAAAATAAAAGCAGAGCAAAATCAACAACTCCATCGACATTCATAAATGTTAGTATTGCAATTTTACTGTTGTTCTGTAAAAAAGTAAGTAAAATAAAAAGTAAGACAATAATAATGATAATAATAATTACCCTACAACAGCTCTATTAATACATTTATTATAACATTCACACATAGTGTTCAAATTGGGATCTGTAATATGTTCTAATGTTTTAAAAGAAGTCTCTTCTGCTCAGCAAGGCTGCCTTTATTTGTACAGTAAAAAATACATGCCTGATTCAAGTCAATTTTTGAGTCAGTCAATTTTACTAACTCATTCATTTTAAGTTAAATTGTGCTTTGTTGGTATAATGTCTGCTAGAATGTTAAAAAAATGTTCAGTGTTAAGTAAATATTTTAAAATTGTTGTTTTTTTTAAATTGATTTTTTATTTGAAAAGCAAGACAAAACAGTAAAAAGCACATTTTGGCTATTTAATTAATGCAATGGTGAAAAAAAAATTGCAAAATAGGCCTACATGGGGGGAAAAACTGTGTTCGGTATTCAGTATTCGGCCTTCGGCCCAGTGTTTCATTTTGTTCGGCTTCGGCCAAGAATTTTCATTTCGGTGCATCCCTATAAATAAGATATGATTCTTTCACATAATATTTTTAAATAATATTTCACACTATTACTGTATTTTATTTTTTTTACTGTAGTATTGATCAAATAAATGGAGCGTTGGTGGGTGTAAAGAGCTATCTTTCAGAAACATTAAGACAAATCTTACTAACCCAAACTTATTGTTGTCCGATTAATGTAAAAACATGTTGGACAAAGCCGAGCTGCAATCGCATGGTCCAGGTCAAGTACAATTTCAGTCAGACTAAAGTGTTTACATTTAAATAAGACTCGCTATTGTTTTATTCTGGCTGAAATTCAACATTTAACATGCATGTAAACGCACTTCATGTTTTGGGCTGTTTTTAATGGAGGTATAGTAATTCCAGTAGCCATAAGCTCATTGACGACTGGTCATGCTGTAATGTTTGCTTAACTTGCACAATGCCAGGAAATGTTGTTCTATACCAAAGCTCCGAGTCCGTTCAACTTTTGTAATAGGCCATTAAAATCCTTCTCCAGACCTATTAAAGGGATTGTAAACCTCAAATGCACTCTTCACTATTAGCTGATGGTTTGTTGACACAAACCGCTTGGGGGATCTACGGATATTTTCCAATTTTTACCATGTACTCTGCCAAGATTTCTGTAGTTTTGGTGGTTTCTCTTAAACTCGGTTTGTCTTTCTGTTTTCTTCATTTTTGTGTTATTCATCTCAGGCCCCTTTCCCTGCAAAGCCGTGAACAAGATCCTGTGGAGAACAACAGAATCAGGGTGCGTGCTGTAATGTGTGAGAAATGAAATCCCATGATCGCATGTTTCGGTTCTCTCAGGAGGGTCTCCTCTGTTGTGTCTGTAGAGCTCCTCTAGTGTTGTTCAGTGGCGGTATGCCCAGAGCCAGCTATGGAGACAGACACTGTTTGACCATCCTCCAGGACAGCAGCCACGTCACCCTGGACTTCACCTCGCGTGTCATAGACTTCTTCACCATTCACTGCACAGACAAAGATAAGGGTGAGCAGGCCACCCTTTGGCCCGGTGGTGTGGACTAGTGTTTAAAGATTTGGGCTGATAACTGAAAAGTAGTGATCGACCGATACCGATTTTTTATAACTGATACCGATACCAATTATTTGCATGTTTATGTGCCCGATAACCGATATGCAGAAACAATATTTATTTACTGTTATAAAGTTAATAAATGAAAGTAAGAACATACTTTACTTTGGTTTTTCCTCTTTTCAGTCATTTTTTATTTTTTTTTTAAGTGTTGAAAATTAGCAGTCTTTCATGTTAAATTTAATCTTCATATTACAACAATAAAAAAACATTATTTATAAAAAGCATCAACAGCAACAACACTAATATTAAAAATGTTGTTCTATACCAAAGCTTAGAGTCCGTTCAACTTTTGTAATAAGCCATTTAAAATCCTTCTCCAGGCCTATTAAAGGGATCGTAAACCTCAAATGCACTCACTTTTAACTTGATGGTTTGTTGACACAAACCGCTTGGGGGATCTACGGATATTTTCCAATTTTTACCATGTACTCTGCCAAGATTTCTGTAGTTTTGGTGGTTTCTCTTAAACTCGGTTTGTCTTTCTGTTTTCTTCATTTTTGTGTTATTCATCTCAGGCCCCTTTCCCTGCAAAGCCGTGAACAAGATCCTGTGGAGAACAACAGAATCAGGGTGCGTGCTGTAATGTGTGAGAAATGAAATCCCATGATCGCATGTTTCGGTTCTCTCAGGAGGGTCTCCTCTGTTGTGTCTGTAGAGCTCCTCTAGTGTTGTTCAGTGGCGGTATGCCCAGAGCCAGCTATGGAGACAGACACTGTTTGACCATCCTCCAGGACAGCAGCCACGTCACCCTGGACTTCACCTCGCGTGTCATAGACTTCTTCACCATTCACTGCACAGACAAAGATAAGGGTGAGCAGGCCACCCATGGGCCCGGTGGTATGGCTTAATGTTTAAAGATTTGGGCTGATAACTGAAAAGAAGGGTGGGTGGTTTGACCTAACTCTTATTTTGAACTCATAATATCAAACATCAAAATTGATCGTAATATGATTAATTTAGCTGAAAGTTCAACCCCAAACTGTTTTGTTATACAGCATTATCTATCTAGTGATTTTAAACATCTCTAAGTAATAATAATAGCTATTATTATTATTATATTATTTATTCAATAATGGATGGTGGTTGTTGTTGTTGTTGTTGTGGAATAATATATAATTAATATTTATTTAATACTACTACTACTTTATTATTATTATTATTATTATACTGTTACTAATATTATTATTTAATGTAGTAATAATAATAATATAATAACATTATTATTATTCAATAATGGATGGTGATTATTATTGTTGTTATTTAATTTAAAATAACAACAACAACAATAATAATAATAATAATTATTATTATTTATTCAATGGATGGTTGTTGTTGTTGTTGTGGAATGATATATAATTAATATTTATTATTTATTGTTATTATTATTATTAATTCATTCAATTATGGATGGTTTTTATTGTTGTGGAATACTATATAATAATTATATATAATCTATATATGTGGAATAATATATAATTTATATTTAATACTACTACTTTATATTATTATTATTGTTGTTGTTTATTGAATAAGACATTATTATTATTATTATTATTATTATTCAATAATGGATGGTGATTATTATTGTTGTTGTGGAATAATATGTAATAATTTATTTACTACTACTACGAATACTACTATAATTATTATTATTATTATGCTGTTACTATTATTATTAATCTTGTTGTTGTTTTTAATAATATTTATTGGTTATTTACTTGACGGATGCAAACCAGAATATGATTTTTCAGAACAAATAAATCTGCCATCAATGTGAAGAACACTCAAATTATGTAAAAGTGTACCATAAATATGCTGTCATATAAATGATCCAGCAGAATCTGAACAGTTTGACAGTATCATGTCTATCCTTGGCATATACCATCAATAAATCACTGATGATACATGCGTATGCTAAATGTTTTTTCTTTTATTTGCTGTGCATGGACTTCAGTTATTTTTGTGCCTCACAGAATTTGATGACCCATCAGCGCTTGTGGTTCTTTTGGAAGAGGAGCTGGTAGTGATTGATCTTCAGATGGTTGGCTGGCCCACTGTCCCTGCTCCCTATCTGGCTCCTCTGCACTCCTCTGCCATCACCTGTTCATGTCACATTTCAAATGTGCCGCCCAAACTGTGGGAGAGAGTGATCAGTGCGGGCCAGCAGCAGTGTCCTCTGCAGAACTATGAGGTGGGTGAATTAAAAGACCCCATACAGAAACCCAAAACTAGCGCTTTTTCCCCCACATGCCCTCTGTTGGTTTAACAGGACATTTGGCAGAATGGATTTAAAATCGACATCTGGAGAATCAAATTCTGGAGAATGTGTAAAATGATGTTGACATTTCCATAACTGACATATAGTTGGCTTTCATGCTTTAAATTACATATGTATAGTTTTTCTTTCACTTCAGCAGAATACTAAATATTTGCATTTAGTAAAACATCTGCTATGTGTATAACATTAACATCATAAAACAAACACCACCCTTCATTTTTTTTGTCACTGTTATATAAATGAATTGATTTAATACAGCACGCTCATACTGTATTTTTAGATTTAATAGCTTAGTCTTTCTGAAATGGATTTTATTTAACAACCACCAATAAGAGACAAACCAGCATCAAAGTTCTTATTTAATGTTATTTCATTAGAGAATTTAAAGTTTGCCAGATGTTTTTTTTTGTTTTGTTAAAGTGGCCGCCCTGAGTGTGCTTTTTTTTCCCCTCTGTGTTTTGACAGAATTGGCCAATATGTGGAGGGAAAAACTTAGCACCTGATTCAAAGCAGAAAGAACTGCTGTTAACTGGGTGAGATTTTATTTTATTTGATTATTTTTTTGTTATATTATATTTTTTATCTCTTCCTATCACTAATGAGAAATCAAAATTAAGTTATTTGAACAGCTGCTTACATTTTTCTTCAATGCTTTGATAAAACGTCCCACAGGCTTTAATGAAAACATTCCTGTTTATTTGGATCAGTTGTCAGGATGATTGTATTTGTTTTTTTTAGTCACGAGGATGGTACAGTGCGTTTCTGGGATGCGTCAGGAGTGTCGCTCAAACCGCTGTACAAACTGAGCACAGCCAACATCTTTCAGACAGACTGCGACCACAACGACAGCCTGACGCAGGCCGGGGAGGAGGAATGGCCTCCTTTCAGAAAGGTCAGGGATTTATGGGAGATCTGATGATTTTTTTTTTTTTAATTAACTTTTAAAACAAAGCTTAAATCACATCATCTGAACACTGGGACATTATTTTATTTTACTTTACTCACTGTTTTCTTTCACAACAAGGGAAGCTTTAGCAAGTTTCTTGACCTCTCTCTTCTCTTTTTTTTGTTTTCCTAATCCACCTTTTCCTCTTCTTCAGCTTCTCCATAAAACACCAACTGCAGTCTGGCGCGTGGCCCACTTTAGCATATAGGATTCACACTGGAGTCGATTCTTTTTGCACCTTAATTAAAAGCAGACTGTCTGTCTGACGACTGAAATGCTTTGCTGACGTCTGCTGAAGATGAAGCACATTGCTGCTCTGGATGGAGCAGTTTTTTTTTTCTTTTTTTTTTCTTCCCCCTCATAATATGCACATTCCTCTTTTCTTTGTTCTAGTCTTTGTCCGCAGCTGTTTGGCTGGGATTAGACGTTGTTGAGGGTCAATGTGTCTAGAGGGGAAGGAAATGCAGTCTTATATTGTTACCGATTGCATTATATTGTTCATAACGTGTGGAGCTATATGGCTGAAGCTTTTTCTTTAAGGCTGTATAGATGGTATTTGACTTTTCTTTGGCATGTAGAAGATATTTTGTTTGTTACGGTTAGAATGGACTTGATTGGCTCAGGTGTGTTTTTGTACTAAACGTCCCTCATAAAAGGGATATTGTAGCTCTGTTTGTGCAGCCTTAAGAATCAACGAAGAAGAATAACAGTCCGTGTTTGCTTTTCGTTTATTTCCAGGTGGGCTGTTTTGACCCATACAGTGATGATCCCAGACTAGCAATCCAGAAGATCAGCGTCTGTAAATACAGCGGAAAACTGGTGGTGGCTGGAACTGCTGGACAAGTAGGATCCCTAGTTTTTAATGATTAATGCAAATATATTTTTAGTTCAGTAGCTTTGTCAGAGATTATCTTACTATAGGGAGATGAGAGGGTCTGTATTACTTACTATTGCGGCTATCTTGGATCACGTGTCCCTTAATAACCAATAACATTACAGCCTTGACGTCATTGAATTTCAGTCAGATTTGTGCGACACTCAATCGCCGTTTACGCATCCCATAGGAATGAATGAGAAATGCCGTAAGCTGAATCTGTCGCAAAAAGTCAGTGACTTCTCTTATAAAACGGCATTTTTTTCGTGGTAAACTCTAAATATAGTTCAATCCAAAAGTATTGTTTGGTGTGAAACATGTTGAAGATTAGCAGATAGGCTGTCGATTCATTAAATGATAAGCCGTTTCCTCTAAAAAGCGGTTTATTCAGCGTAGTGAAGCCTCTCCTTCATTGACATCCATTCAAAAAATAAAAAATAAACATCCTCTGGTCTCCTTTCCCACGTACTGCCAGACCAGAAGCGTTGGCATTAGTCGTTACGCTTTTTCGGCTAATGGTTGCAGGCTGCCTTCTAGTGGCTTTGGCTTTGTTTCAAAATCTTAGTTAAGCGGCTTTGCTGTGTGCTGTCTAAAAAGGCTACATCCTAACCATAATGAAACCTCATAACCTCTTAAAGTGATAGTTCACCTAAAAATGAAAATTCTCTCGTTAATTACTTAAACCCGTAAGACCTTCGTTCATCTTCAGAACACAAATTGAGATATTTTATAAAACGGATAGTTCCGGTCCTTGATTCTGATTGGTTGAGCCGCGTTCTAAGCTGTTGTAAATTACTCTACAAACATACACCTTTGTTTACGTTTGTCTGTTGCTTGGCAACCACTTTGTTGCAACCACAACTGTTTCTGAGGAGCTACATTGTTTGGTGGAAGAATACTGTTTTTATTAATATCATTACACTTTTAATTTTATTTTGTGAAACCGTACTACATATGTGGAATAACCGTTTTATAAAAGCAATAAGCCCCAAGAAGCCATGGTTTTACAGTGAATTTATAACAGCTAAGGGGGTTCGCGTCGCGTCGTGCCTAACAACGCTCTTTAGCTATTATAAATTCACTGTAAACCACGGCTTCTTGGGGCTTATTGCTTTATTAGAGGAAATCCGAGAGCTTTCTGACCCTCCAAAGACAGCAACACAACTAGCACGGTCAAGGCACAGAAAGGTAGTAAAGACCTCATTGAAATAGTCCATGTGACATCAGTGGTTAAACCATCATTTTATGAAGCTACGAGAATACTTTTTGTGCGCAAAGAAAACAAAAATAACGACTTTATAACAACTTTATTATTAAACTAATGCTCTCTAGGCTTTCAAATGGCTATTGACTTCACAAAAATAAGTGATAATGTTGCAACCTATACTCTGCTCCCAGGTTATAGTTCTGGTTCTTAGCGATGAGAAGTCCGATCACATGATTGATGTGGCCACGGTGGACCTGCTCCAGGACCGAGAGGGTTTCACGTGGAAGGGTCATGACCGGCTGCCTCCTAGGAGCGGCTCAGTAGTGTTTGCTCCTGGATTCCAGCTGGTTGTCCTGGTGCAGTGCATGCCCCCCGCGGCCGTTACCGCGGTAACCCTGCACGCAGAGTGGAACCTCATTGCCTTTGGCACCAGTCATGGCTTTGGCCTCTTTGACTATCATCGGCGAAGTCCAGTGCTGGCGAGGTAACTCGTGGGGCTGTCCAAAGCTGCTGTGTTACTTTGCCAAATGCTTGTTAATCAGTGCTTCAAATTGAAAGAGATTTATCTAATTTGCTATGAAGATATTCAAGTTGTCTGAATTGGGGTTGGCTCGATTTGTTTACTAACTACATTTACTAAATTAATAATTGAAATCTGTCATGTGCAAACCAATCTTCAAATCAAGCAGGGTCTTTAAATGAACAACTATCTAATAATGACAGAATTAATAAACACATGATTGTCTCGGTGAGCATGTCTCATCCGAAGCTGCGTTTCCAACTAAATTTTACAAATATTTCATGACACAAACATTAAAAATAAACAAGAAAATGGAAATGTATTGCATGTGAATCCAGTTAATTGTTATTATAAAATATTCTTGCATACTCGGCATCTGCTTCTAGAATGTGCTTATAATAACCAACCCAATTATAAAATTATTATTATTGTTATTAACAACAACAACAATAATAATATAATGATGATGATGATTATAATACATTTCTTAAAATAAAACAATATTTTTTTATTATTTATTATTGTTAATACTTTTGTTAAAGTAGTTTAAATGTATTAAAATTATTATTATTATGATTAACAACAACAATAATATAATTTTATACATTTAAATTACTTTAATAAAAGTATTATTAATAATAATACAAGTTATTGTTTTAAAGAAATGTATTAAAATAATTTTAAAAATGTATTATTTATTATTAATAATACTTTTATTAATGTAATTTAATTATATTATTATTAACAATAACAACAATAATATAATTATAATGCATTTCTTTAAAAAATAAATAAATATTTATGTATTTATTATTAATAATACTTTTGTTAAAGAAAATTTAATAATTAATAAAATTAATTATTATTATTAATATTATTATTTACAACAATAGTAATAATTTCATACATTTAAATTACTTTAATAAAAGTTAATAATACAGAAATGTTGTTTTAAAGAAATGTATTAAATACAAAATATATTTTCATAATTATATTACTATTATTAATACTTTTATTAAAGTCATTTACTGCTAATTTCTTATTATATTAAGTGTTCTATTAAATGAATTTAATTAATAAGTGATGATTAATAATATAGTAATAAATTTTATTAGTATTTTTTAATAGTAATAACTGTATAAAATAACTATATAATAACTATCATTTTATGAATGTTTATATTTATAGTAACAGTGATGTATTATCCATTGCATTCCCTAATTAATGAATACAATTTTTGTAGGTATGCAATAAACCTTAATCTGAATAAGGTTTTCCTTCAGCAGTTACAGTGCAAAATAACCTCATAGGATATAATTAAAAATCTGACTTTTGTGTGACTGTACTTTGCTATAAGGAAGGTTTTGTGTTTTTCCATAGGTGCACTCTACACCCCAATGACTCTCTGGCTATGGAGGGCCCGCTGTCTCGAGTGAAGTCTCTGAAGAAATCCCTGCGCCAGTCCTTTAGAAGAATCCGGAAGAGCAGAGTCTCGGGGAAGAAACGTGCTGTGGTTAATAGTCCCACCAGTAAAGTGAGTGTCTGGAAGTCTCACATACATGCATTACCATCTTACAGGTTTTTGTGATTCAAGGGGATGAGGCCATTGTTTGTGAGTCTGTTGACTGTTAGGTTATTTTAAGAAGCTCATCTTGTCTTCCTCAGGTGCAGGAACACGATGCTGAGGTGGCACCAGTGCAGAGACGGATTGAGCCCCGCTCTGCAGACGACTCGCTGTCTGGAGTGGTGCGCTGCCTCTGCTTCGCTGACACTTTCCTCAGAGATGGTGAGAATTGTGGGGGAAAAGGGTTCAAATATGGCGCAGTGTGACTAGTTTTCATGTAACTGAATTTGACATTACGATTCTATACTATATCAAATCCATCCTATAAATTAAATCCAATTGGGATGTTTAAAAAAATGTTAATTATTCCAGTTGAATTAATAGTTTGACTTTATCAGTTGTACAAGCCTGTTTTCAATTAAATATATTGAAATACTGATATCAGAGCAGCATAAGCAATTTTGCTGTTGATCTAATTCCAAATCTAAGTTTTGTTTGTCCTGTGTGAAATGTGTGGGCTTTATATTATTCAACCTGATCAAGGCTGCTGCACACTCGCCCACGTTTGCGTGTTGAAATGATTTACGCTGTCACTTTATATTACCTTACCTTGTCTGGGTCACAAGCACGAGGCAGCCCAGTTTCCCTCATCTTCCAGTATGTGACCTCGTGACTCAAACAGACTGTTGCACAATAGTGGTCAGATCATGTTTGGGGAGAGCTGAATTTTCCATGAGGGAGTTCTGAACAAAGTAGTATTGTTTTATTAGTGCAATATATTTAAATGATTTACAATAATGGGGGAATAACTTTGCATTTGTACTGTGCAGTTATGAGTGTGAGTGGTTTGCTATTGGAACATAGTAATAGGGTCAGGTTAGGTCACTATTGTCTGAAACAGCTGTGCTGACTGAATAGGGAAAACTAAAAAATGTGCTCAAATCACAATCAGGTCATGGAGAGTGCTACTAATAAGCTGATTCAGATGTTAGATATCAGATCCAGAGCTAGGGTGGACACGTGGAGCAGGATTGGGAAACGCTTGCTAGAAGATCAAGATTCATATTCTTGTCAAACCTTTATTTCAAAACGATGCTTGCTTACTCCATAGTTTGGGGTCGGTACAATTTTTTTTATTTTATTTTATTTTTGAAAGAAGTTTCTTATGTTCACCAAGCATTTATTTGATCATAAATACAGTAAAAACCGTAATAATGTGACTATTGCAATTATAATTTAAAATAAAATTTTGTTTCAATACATTTAAAATGTTATTTATTCCTTTGATGGCAAAGCTGATTTTTTTTAGTAGCCGTTACGCCACATGATCCTTCAGAAATCATTTTAAAATGCTGATTTGGTGTTAAATAGTTGTGCTGCTTAATATTTTCATAAAAACTGCAATATGTTTTTTCAAAAGACCAGCATGAAGCAAAAATTGTGTTTTTTGTAACATTACGTGAAACCCTCACTTTTTGATCAGTTTAATGTGTTCTATGAATAAAAGTGTTAATGTCTTAAAAAAAAAAAAAATACTGACCTCAAAATTTTGAATGGTAATGCCCTTAATATACTAATAATGACATGCCCATTCATGCTTAGTCTGTTCAGCTTGCTCTTGCCTTTTTTACACTACATTTGAGTACTTAAGCTCGATTCATTCATTTTCATTTTTGTCATCAATAGTAGAGACTGAAAGATGAATTGTAAGACATAGTCCAGTGATTGTTATTAAATATTAGGATTTGTAAAAGTAAGACCAAATCTATGGAACTGGCATCATGTCATGCATGTGTTTTGTAAATGAGACTCCAGGATCTTAACATTTATTGTTATGGCTGCAGGCCAGCTGATTGACAGCATTATTTTTCCTCGGTTACGCAGGAACGCATCATGGACCTACCGTGTGGGCCGGCACGAACTCTGGCTCCGTGTACGCATACGCTCTGGATGTACCCTCGCAGGAGAAGTTCTCTGAGCAGAGCGTGGAGGCGCTGCTGGGGAAGGAGATCCAGCTCATGCACAGAGCTCCAGTGGTGTCCATCGCTGTGCTGGATGGCCGAGGGAACCCTCCGTCAAGATTAACCGTCCATTTAAAAAAATGAAATGGACAATTTCATAAAGTCATTGAATTTAATTACATGGATGCATGTTTTGGCAATCAGACCTTAATATTCCTTATTAAAGTACTATATACAAAGAAATTTCTAGAATACTTGTATTCAGCAAGGACACACTAAATGAATCAAAAGTGACAGTAAAGACATTTATAATGTTACAAAAGATTTCTTTTTCAAATAAATGCTGCTCTCTTGAATTTTATATTCGTCAAAGAATACTGGAAAAAAAGTATCATGGTTTCCATGAAATATTCAGCAGTTTTCAACATTGACAATGATAAGAAATGTTTCTTGAGCAGAAAATCAGCATATGAGAGCAAGTCTGTTGAAACTGAAGGTAACAATTCTGCATTCAAGTCTTGACAGATGGAAAATAAATGTCATTCTTCTCCCAGCTAGCTGAAATTACCAGCATTTGTGCACTTTTGTTTTACTGGAAATTAGAATTAGAGACTTAAGTCTAATTTATGTACTTGATGTTTAATGTCTCATACAGCAGTTAATTTTTCTAAAACTATGATCTCACCCCTTTTGTGACAATACACATCACACTGTCAGAACATGTATTTCAAGAAATGCAATGAGTTCGTTGCTTAGGCTGAAAAAAAAGATCAAACAGGATACTATGTGGTCATTCTCTCAGGGCTCTTGGATGAAATGCGGAGCGCCTTGTCCTCGCCCGTCCTGGATTCTCCAAACAGCAGTGCTGACGTCACTCTGGACACCACTGGCGAGCTCACCGTTGAGGACGTCAAAGACTTCTTAATGTGAGCGCTCTTTACTCATCTATTCTGGTCTATTAGAGTTGCGTTTATTTTGGGCTCCCCTCGATGTTTTGCTTCTTTAGGACTGTGGATGAAGCTGAGAATAACTACAGGAACATGACTGAAGAGGATGGGAGGCCTCCTGGGATTCTCATCAACTGAGGCGAGCCGGCAGACAGCTGGAGGTGAGGAACATTTACAGCACGAGCAGGCACTGTGGGCTGTTGAGAGTAGACCCCTGGCGTGCCTGACCGAGGAAATAGACCCTGCTGAGCCTGCCGGGTATTTAATGTGGAGATCCGTGCTAGATATCGTTTAGGATGTGCATTTTGTTTTGTTGAGGAGGAACAAAAAGTACTGATGAAACCACACTACATTTATCAGTAGTGTGACAGTAGTTCAGTTGTTGAAGTATAGCCGGGGGGGGGTTGTGTGAATAATAAACAACATCTGGTAAAGTTATGTCTACTGTATAACTGTCAGAATTTCTCTCTCTCTCTTCGCAATGTCATTCTTCAGATTTTGGGGGGTTGTGTTGTCTTATACAACCCCCCCATAAAAAAAATTTGAAGAATGACATTAAACTACCAAGATAATATGTTAGGGAAACATGCATAACATATGTATTCACATAAAACATATACTATAAATACACAAGGAAGGAAATCTTTAAAGAAAGACATTTTGTGGTTTGTTAGTAGTTTTTTTTTTTTCTACAATTTTATTTGTCTTGTATGAACTGATATGAATCAGTCATCATTTATAAAACATTTATATTACAAAAATCATTTAGTATTGGGAAGTCTGACTCATTGTAGTCAAGTGAATTAGTAAGTTTAGTTGTTTTTTTTTAATGAGCATAGTCTCAAATGAATCAGCTTATGTTTAATTAAATCATTTATGTATTTATTACAGATTCACTTATATCCCTTAATTTACGTGGTTTAGTACATGATTTGGTTATATTCTGCTATTCAGCAGCATTATTCTGTTTTCATGTCCTTTTAGATTAGGGTGTTTTTTTAAATTAATATATTTTTTTTATTAGTATATTCAAGTACATTCAGTTGCTGAGAAGAGACAAAACCATGGTGCTTCCAGGCATCTTGTGTGTAGAATTGCCAGAGATCTGTTTGTTGAGAGAATTCTCCCCCCACCTCCTGCTTTGTGACTTTCTAGTTTGCTAATGATGGCAGTCAATTTACGCTTTACTTACCGGACAAGGTTTTTCATGCAGAGCTTGACGGAATGTACTCTTGTGATTTCTGCAGTCCATATCCTGCAAGCTGATGCTCAGTAGGGCATCTGCCTCTCTTATCTTCCCTCGCTAGGCCCAAGGCATTATTATCTGAACTGCTAATGTACAGAAAATTAAGAACAGACCACACATTTTCCAGGGTTTTCATTTAGCCTTCGACATTTTGCGTTGTTTGTTTGCAGGAGAAAAAGTACCTCTTCGCCTCCTTGTGGACATGTTTGGTAGTGCAGAATGGTTTGATTATGGTGTGCTTGGAGGAGTGCCTGTGATTGATTACATGTAATTGCATCAGTATTTAAGCCTTAATGAAGATGTTGTTTTTCAGGAGCAGTTATGGGTGAAGACTCATCAGCTGAACTCGTTACTTCTAATTGGATCTTGACAGAGCAGTTTGTGACTCCGGAAGTTGCACCAAACATTGTTCATGAAGTTTTTACAATGGGAATGTTGCACTTTTTCCCCTGTGCCAAAAGTCTATTATCCTCGTTTTCTTCACCTTTCCTCCAGTTTTCTTCTCCTTTTTTTTTTTTCCTCTGACAACCGTTGGTTCCTTTGAGGGGCCATAAAATGGCACATTTGAGAGGTGACTTTTAAAGGGATCAGGCAATAAAACAGCCGAGATGTTGCACAATGTCTGTATGCAGGTAGGGGGCTACTTGCACTGAGCCCGTGAAGTTTTTCTTCTTCGTTTGTCTTTTAACATTCCTCTTTTGTCACGTCACCTCTCCTCTCACTGTGTGCCATTCATTAGTTTAGGCTAAATTCCTACATTTAGAATACATAGCTGCTACAGTTCACGAATCTCGAAGGGTATTTTGGGGCGACCAACTGCACAACAGAAAATAACTATTCAAGCTTAATTATGGGAAAAAAATATGAAGTGCCCTGCTCATTTATGAACGTATATTTTTCTGTATGAAGTGTTTGCTTTTTTCCCCTCCTGACAGCCTTTTCAACAATATCTATGATACTGTGATGGTTTCTGACCTCAAATCGGGAGTCTATTGAAAAGTTCAAGTTATGGACCCTGTGGGTTTGATAGAGATATTTTCCTCTCATTCAGTCGTCTTTATTATTATTTTTTAATAATGTCCCTTAACCACTTGCCATTGTAAGTAATTCTGGCAGTTAACTGTGAAGTGTGTCATTTAAAGGAACATGGTGTGTAACCTTTGAGTATTCGCCGCAGTCATTCTAACCAGTTTTTGGCACAGTATTAACACGGTATGAAGGAGCTAACGACTTTTTCTATTTACACAGTATTCTTTAGAATAATTTTATATGGCTTATAAGGGTTGGTATCTTGTATTTTATAGATATTTCACTGGCATTTAAGTAACTAGGCATTTCTAACACTGCATTTTGTGGGGCAATTATCAACAGTTGTGTAGTATTACAAGAAATTACTATACTATAGGCATTAGTGTAGCTAATTGAGGGAAAGAGCCATTGAGGGAATAGGACAAGTGTTGCACAGACATATTTGAATAAGACACAACTGGCTCCTTGGGTCAGATAATGCAGATGTTAGTGAGTGTGCTTTTAGGAGTAAAGTAGGACTTTTAAAGTGAAAGGCTCTATTTACGTTGTAATTACAAAGAAAACTGCACATAAATACTTTGCTTGGTATTGACGCATTGTCACATTTTCTCCCTGCATTTTCTGTTCTTTGTTTTATTGGTTATATGTCAAAGGGACCTCACTAATTGTAGTTTAATTTTTGTTTGTATATTAGCCTTACATAACCTTTATTTTCCATCCTATCCTATGAACAGGTATTTAATTTTTATTTTTCTTGTGTAGAATTTTAATTTGAGATTTAGCAATGCTAATTAAATCTTGAATGTTAATAAAGTATTTACTCCACATTTTATTGAATTTTCAGCGTGGTCTGTGCTCAAATTATTTAAATGCCACATTTCCTGTTATTTACAGCCTGTGAATATACTTCAATATATCTTGTTTTATAAAAAACAAAACAAAATAAAACAACCATATATACTTATAGATGGTTATGACAACCTACATTTTCCCATTAATTTAATGCATCAAAGTAAACTTCAAGTTATATGAGATTTAACTAGAACGGATTCTAAAAAAAATGTTGCAATGTCTATGAAATGATTATACTAAGTTCAGTTGCTGACTTGAATTGAATTTGGTGGAATGAAAATGCAAATTGTCTTGATATCATACTTGCTGTAGTATTTCAAATTCATTATTATTAATAGTGCAAATAGTCCATGCAGTCTTTCAGTTAATATGGGATTGATAATTAGGATTACTAAAGACTGCATGCATAGTTATACAGATGAACGTAAAAAAGTGAGTCTGGAACACTGTTGTCATGCCCATTTGTGTTATTAACCATTATGAAAAACTGATTCTGTGAATTTAAAATATGCTAAACAGCAAAAGCCTTTTAAAATGAAAACACTCAAGTCTTCTAAGGTCAGACCTGAAAGACTTGATCGTTTTTTTGCTTTGTTTTTTCAAAGGAGAATCCTTTAAACATGACCACAACATCATCTTGAAAAATAGTACTCTTTTATTAAAGACAACAAAGTGCTGATAATCACATTTAACCTACACAAACAAATATCAAGCAGTAGAAATATGATTAAGAATGTACAAAAATCAAAATAATTTTTTCTGTTATGAGAACATTATATACATTAAGGGCTATTGCATCATATCCTCTTCTTCCTCCTCCTCCTCCTCATCATCTTTATCAAAGTAGTGCTCCTCTGCATCATGGCTTACAATATCTAGGTTATCATAATCTGGATTCTCATCCACTTCACTGCAATGAAAATATCAGTTATTGTTACTGCAATTAAGATATATTAAAGGGGTCATATGATGCTGCTAAAAAGAACATTATTTTGTGTATTTGGTGTAATGAAATGTATTTATGCGGTTTAAGGTAAAAAAAAAACACATTTCCACATACTGTACAGTATTGTTTCTCCTTCCCCGCCTTTCTGAAACGCGTCGATTTTTACAAAGCTCATCGGTCTGAAAAGCGAGGTGTGCTGTGATTGGCCAGCTATTCAGTGCATTGTGATTGGCTGAATACCTCAAGAATGTTACGCCCTTACCATACTGTGATGGCGTGTCCCGGCCGGAGCGACGAGACAAAAACATTAAAACCCATTATAAACAAGGCATTTGTTGCATCCAGTGCGGACATAATTACGGATTATAATGACTTATACTGTCTGACATCTGCATTTGTGATCGGAGAAATGACAAATAACAAGTGCTACTCTCAATACAACTTAACCAATGATTTCTAGTCGTGTCCACTTTTGGAAGACCAAACAAAGTAGTTTCTCTTTTACAACGAAACACAGCGTCACACACGGCCGGCTAGAGTGAGCGGCGGCCAGAGGACTAGAGTGAGCGGAGGCTGGCGGATTCGACGAAGGAGCGGCCGGCGGGCTTGCGGAAACCACATGTGATGACCCCGGGCTGGACTCCGCTTCGTCCAC